GACCTTGAGCGATCCACCCGCCTCCCAGAGTGCTAGGATTACAGGCGTGAGCCACCGCACCAGGCCCGCTTTAAATATCTTAAGTACAGTTCTTTTGATTTGCCTTCTTCAACAAATTTATGTTAATGTAGCTCAGAATTTCTTTTTATCTTGTAGTAAGTATGTGCTAAAGGGTAATAGGTCCTTGAAATTTCTTCCCATGTATTTTAGACTTTATAACCTAACTAAACTAACATGTATATAAAAATATCCATGTAATATAAAAGTATTTAGATATAAAATTAACACTAATCTGTTATTCAATAATAATAGTGTGAATAAAGAACAATGAAATGTGTAAGAATTTAGACAGTATCATTTAATAAGAAAAAAATCTTTATAGTTCTAGTTATTTATGATCCACTTGTCAACTTCTCACAATTTTTTTTTGAAGCAAGCTGTCCTCCGGCAAAAGAATAATCTGATTTTAATTTCCCTTAATTTCCCTCTTCTCCATGTGAACTTGTGGGTGACTTTTCAGTTATGACTTCTAATAATAAAAACAAAGAACTATTTTGCAAACTAAGTTACAGATTCATTTGAAAGTAGGTGGTACTTTTTTTTTTTTTTTTTTTTTTTTTTTCTTTTCAAATCTTCCCTAGGAATTTTTGATGTGTTTATTATTTTATTTGATTTACCAGTAGAAGTTGGCTGTGTATATATTTATTCGGTCACTGCCATTAGTCAAATTTTTTTCTGATAATAATCAAAAAAAGGTTTTGTGTTTTTTTAAACAATGTTCCACAGGAATTATTTACATCAATAACTTATTTTATCGGTAATCAAAGATACAAGTTGTTTTAAATTTTAATGGCGTATTTGTTTTAAGAGACAGGGTCTCACTCTGTTGCCCAAGTGGGGGTACAGGAGCACAATCATAGCTCACTGCAGCCTTGAACTCCTGGGCTCAAGGGATCCTCCTACCTCAGCCTTCCAAGTAGCTGGGACTACAGGCGTGTGCCACCACGCCTCACTAATTTTTTTATTTTTTGTACAGTTGCCATGTGACCCAGGCTATTCTCAAACTCCCAGCCACAAGGGATACTCCTTCTCTCAGCTTGGATTACAGGCATTTATGAGCCACCACAGCCAGCCTAATGGCATGTTTTTACATCAATACAAATGACTTTGACCTCTCAACTTTTATTTCCCTAAATATTACTAATTACTATGTAAAAAGAAATAGGCCTCAGCTTCATGAATAGATTACTTTTTTTTTTTTTTTCGAGACAGTGTCTCACTTTGTTGCCCAGACTAGAGTGCTATGGTGTCAGCCTATCTCACAGCAACCTCAAAGTCCTGGGCTCAAGTGATCTTCCTGCCTCAGCTTCCCAAGTGGCTGGGACTACAGGTGGGTGCCACCATGCCCACCTTATTTTTTCTATGTGGGGTTGCCTGGCTAATTTTTTTTCTATTTTAGTAGAGACAGAGTCTCACTCTTGCTCAGGCTGTTTTCGAACTCCTGACCTCAATTGATCCTCTCACCTAGGCCTCCCAGAATGCTAGGATTACAGGCGTGAGCCACTGTGCCTGGCTCAGATTACTATTTTGGTTTTAAAAATTCAGTGTTTATTGCATCCGTAAAACTTTTCATTCTTATTCAGATTTTATACACACTAATTCAGAAGTCACCATTGAGACAATTATGCATGTAAGTATCAGACACAGAGTTTGCAGAATCACTAGATATCCTTTGCTAATAATCTTGTTTAAGTCTTTTTCCTATCCACCATCTCCTTTTTCTTTTACGTTTAGATTTCTAGGCATTAATTTCCACAATTCCTGACTGGTTCCCCATATTTTTTCTGTTACCTTGGCACAAAAGGATGTCTAGTTATCACACTGCTTATACTAACAGAAAAATGGAAACAACCAAAGTGTCTAAAAGTAAAGAAATAGTTAAATTGTGGTACATCCATACAGTTCAATATCATGTACATGTTAAAAATAGACTATTCAATCGCTTAGAAAGATGTCAATAGGAAATTCGTAAATGAAAAAATAAGTTGTGAACAATACATTATGTACAGTACTTTTATGTTAAAAAATATTTGTATATTAATGTATACATTAGGATAGACAAATATTCACCAAAAAGTTAATGTTAATTATCTCTGGGACATGGAATTATAGTTGATTTTAAGTTTCTTCTGTTTTAATCATCTTCATTTTCTAATTTTTCTACAGTGAACATGTATTATTGCATGATGCAAAACTGTTCCAGAATCCAGCGTTAGTGATTTTTCATTGTTCAGAAAAAAAGTATTAAGGAATGAAACTTTTCATTTATTAATATGATGTGATAATATGAATAATCATGTGATGTTAATAATTATGAATAATAAAGGATATAAATAAGGACTGAATTTTTAAAGACTGTTATCAGTAATACAATATAAACTTATGCCCCCTTATGTAATTTTACTATTGTGCTTATAAAATTTTGGGTTTTCTTTATAGATATGAAAATTTTGAGGATCCTATGGGAACTATTGATAAGTTTCATTATGGTACTCACTATTCAAATTCTGCGGGCGTCATGCACTATCTCATCCGTGTAGAACCATTCACCACCCTCCATATCCAGCTTCAGAGTGGAAGGTATGTTTTAAGTAAATAAGCTGTTTTCTTATGACTACATATTAGTGTTGAAAAGTATTTGCTTCGGGTCATGTACTTTGTAACAGGGCCATGTCTTTTTTTATTCTCCTCTATTAGGTTTTGATTCTGTTAAAAATAACCAAACTAGTTTGAGAATGAGTCACTCAGACTGACTCACACAAGTGACTTTTATGGAGAATTCCTTTTTCAGTGTTATTCCAGTGTACCTTTGTGATTCTTACTTTTTTGAGAAATGTACCAGAGATTTAGAATTCGATCTGATTTAGAGAGAATCAAACCTAACTATTGCCTATGCAATCTTAAAAATATTTATCAAGAGGAGTAGAAAAAGGGAGCAATAAAGGACACATACATTGTAGCAGTAGCTCAAAGAGGTCTATGATACCTCTGTATTAATGTGTTACCTGTGAGAACTATAACTTACCTGTGTTTCACATTCTTCTAATAATCCTAAGGAGACTAACTTCTCCATGAATCTTCTGTTCCTCACTGTGTCCTCCAGGTAGCTCCCTCCCACATTTTGTCTCCTTGTGGCCTTTTATTCTTTAACTACCATTTTGCCGTCCCCACCCCATCAAGAGCTATGGAAACATTGCCTATTTTCTTCTCTTTCCATTAAGCTTTTCTCTTTCAGAGTTAGCCCGGGTCCTTTATCTTTGTCTTAAGTGCAATAGCCTTGGCTTTCAAGAAGAGACTTTGGCTCCAAAATCACTAAATATCCCTAATGTTACATTTACCATGATAGCAGTAATTTTCCTTCTGTAAGATGTAGTAGGTAAAGTATAACTTAGTCTTTTCACCTTTTAATGATTTTGTGAATAAATGATTTTTTACAAAGCTTCAAAAATAGATTTTGTTATACTTCAAAGGGCACGTGAAAATTGTGTATCTGATAAGGCAGCGGTCCCCAACCTTTCTGACACCAGGGACCAGTTTCGTGGAAGACAGTTTTTCCTGTGGGAGGTCACCACCTCGGCTTCACCTCAGATCATTAGGCATTGGATTCTCATGGGGAAAAAGCAACCTGGATCCCTCATATGTGCAGTTTGCAGTGTGGTTCACTCTCCTATGAGGGTCTGATGTCGCTGCTGATCTGAGGGGGATTAGGGGGGAGGGCTTGGGCAGTGATGCCAGAGATGGGGTGCAGCTATGGGTTCAGGTGGGGCTTCACTCGCTCGCCTCTTGCCTCCTTCTGTATCAGGGGTGGGGGGGATTTGGGGACTGCAGTGATAAGGGACTTGTATATAGAACATATAAAGAATCCTTCCAAGCTAGGCATGGTGGCACTCACCTGAAGTCCTAGCTACTGGAGAGGCTGAGGTGGGAGGATTACTTGAGCCCAGGAGCTTGAGTCCAGCCTGGGCAACCTGGTGATAGTGAGACCCTGTCTCTTAAAAAAGAAAAAAACTAACCCTTACTACTAAATAATACAAAAACAAATATTAAAAAATGGACATAGGGGCCAGGCATGTTGGTTCACACCTGTAATCCAAGCACTCTGGGAGGCTGAGATGGGAATATCACTTCAGGTCAGGAGTTTGAGGATCACCCTGTGCAAGAGTGGGACCCCGTCTCTACAAAAAATACACAAATTAGCTGGGTGTGGTGGTGCACACCTGTAGTCCCAGCTACTCAGGAAGCTGAGAGGAGGATTGCTTGAGCCTAGGAGTTGGAGGTTGCAGTGAGCTATGATGATGCCACTATACTCTAGCTGGGGCAACACAGCAAGACCCTGTCTCTCAAAAAAAAAAAAGACATGGACAAAAGATCTGAATAAACATTTCTCCAAAGAAGATAATGCAAATATTCAATAAACACATGAAAAGATGCTCAATATCATGAGTTATCAGGGAAATCAAATCAAAATCACAACGAGGTATCACTTTACACCCACTACGATGGGTATAATCAAAAAGATAATAACTAGTGTGGATGAGCATGTTGAGAAATTGATACCCTTATATACTGCTGGCGGGAATGTAAAATGGTGCAGCCTTTCTGGAAAATAGTCTGGCAGTTCCTCAAAAGGTTAAACATAGAATTATTAATATTAATACCATATGTCTTAGTTCATCTTGTGTTGCTATAAAGGAATACCTGAGGCTGAGGAATTTACAAAGAAAAGAAGTTTATTTGGCTCATGATTCTGCAGGCTGTACAAGGATCATGGTGCCAGCAACTGCTTCTGGCGAGGGATTTAGGCTGCTTCCACTCACGGTGGAAGGCGAAGGGGAGACAGCATGTGCAGATCACAAGGCAAGAGTTGGGGAGGTGGCAGGCTCTTTTCAACAGCCAGTTCTCACAAGAACTGAGAATGAGAACCCACTCACACCTGTGAGAATGGCACCAAGTCATCAGAGGGATCGACTCCCATGATCCAAACACCTCCAACCAGGCCCCACCTCCAACACTGGGGATCAAATTTCAACATGAGACTTGATGGGGCCAAACAAACCATATTCAAACCATAGTAGCACCATAAGACCTAGCAATTCCACTCCTAGATAGAGACTCAAAATAATTGAAGATATATGTTCACACAAAAACTTGTATATAAATGTTCATAGCAGCATTATTTATAACCAAAAAGTAGAAACAACCCAAGTGTCCATCTACTGATAAATGAATAAATAAATGCTGTATATTCATACAATGGAATATTATTTGGCTGTAAATGAATAAAAGGAATGAAGTGTTGATACATGTTATGATATTGATGAACCTTGAAAATATGCTGAATGAAATCAACCAGACACAAAAGCTACATACTGCATGATTTGCATGAAATACCCAAAGTAGGCAAATCCATAGAGATAGAAAATAGATTAGCAGTTGCCAGGAGGTGAGGGTGGGGTGAATGAGGAGTGAATGCTAACAGGTACAGCATTTCTTTTTGTAGTGGTAAGAATGTTCTAAAATTGATTGTGGTGGTTACAAATTAAACCATTGAATTGTCCACTTGAAATGAGTGAATTAGGCCGGGCGCGGTGGCTCACGCCTGTAATCCTAGCACTCTGGGAGGCCAAGGCGGGCGGATTGTTTGAGCTCAGGAGTTCTAGTCCAGCCTGAGCAA